CAAGCTTTTCTTATGACATTTTGTGGAGCTGCAGCCAAATAGAGGCTTCGTGTTTGCATTTAAAGATGAATACTTACAATGCAAGTCAAATAGAAAGACCGTTAGTCCGTATCATTGCTTTTGGGGTATGTTACATTAAAAACATCCTTGGGAGGTACAACTCCAGCCATGACGTTCCGGGATGCTATCTTGGTTTGGCTTGTGGCAATCCCAAATGGCTGTTAAAATGCAAAACCAAATAATAGAGATTGTGGGAGAAAGGATGGCAGAAAATAGTATTACTTTATAGCTTTTTAGACAAACATATACAAATGTAATGGAAGTTTAGAAACTGCAGTTATTGAAGAAAGACTTAAAGTTAAATCACTGTGTATTGTACTATGTATTGGTGATGCTAGGAATGATCAAGCTCAACTTATTTAGATCATGTAAGTTTATCTTTAAGGGAATGTAATTTTGGCTTGGTGGGTGGGAAAATTACAGAAGAGAGACTTCCTTTTTTTAATGAAAGTGGTGGGTACCTTATTACAGAAAAAACAACTGGTCATAGAAGAATACAAAAACATAGTCAGTGCTATTAGTGGCAAAGTTTCATTTCTGTCATCTTCTCTCAAGATCTTTTTCTAAACCCAACATATTTCATTCTCTACTCTTCAAAAATTTTAAAACTAATCAAAACAAATTTACAAAAAGTTCAACTGAAGAAACAAAATGAGCCTCCCACTACATGCACACATTGCAATTGGTCTTTCTAACCTGTTCTGGTATAGAAATATGATGCAATCCATTGAACTTTTTCTTTGAGTGTAATTATTTATATTAAAGATTTTGTTTTAATATGTGCTGCCAAAGAGATAAATGGGACTGCTAGTCTATTCAAAGTATCTACAAAGCGTACTTTAGGTGTTTTGTTGACATTAATGTCTAAAACTAATATTAAGAAAAAGGCACACTTTTGAATATACTTCTAAAATACGGATTGTATGCTATGTCTCTCAGTCTGACATTTTTTCAGACAGGTGTAACAAATGCTTATTCAAGTGCACTGTTTAAATGCTATGTTTTAATCTTCATTCCTCCCCTTTTTATAGTGTTGATACCATTACTTTGTAGGGCAGCCCTTAGATGCATAAAATAAGTCATCAACTACTGAAAAGTACAAGAGCGAGTATTGTTAAATTTTGTACAAGGATTGTACCTTTTTAATTTTAAATTTCTCTATTTTATGGGGGTTTTTTGTTGCTAAAACCTTTTTTTATTACATTTCAGACAAGATAGCAAGTATCTCTAAATGGAAGGAGTTTTGTTTTTTTTTTTTTAACAGAAAATACATACAATTTAAAAGCTATGTCCTTGAAAATATAAAAATGTTTAGCAGGTGAAAGTATGTTGAGCACTAAGGGGAAACTCATTTTGTAACTTTAAATTGTTAAACATTATGTACTTTTGCAAAGGGGTTTTTTTGAGTATTAGGTGTACTTATAATGTCTAATCCTCTAAGACTTCCCTCATAAACATAGATTTTTTCAATGTGAGTCTTTCTTTCAGCTTAAATGGTCTATCTAGATGCAAAAGTTTAGGTTCCATAGGCCTGTTTCTTCTTTTCATTTTACTGGCTTCTGTTACAAGACCTTGATCTTTAGTAAAGCTGAAAGAGCTCATCACATCTGGGCGTGAGTCAAATCTGCAAAGTTGCTTAAGTACCTTGTTTCCTACTTTGTATACCTACTACTTCAAACCTCTTTCACAGTCTTTTTACTACATTCACTTCATTACACAGAACAACCTGTATGTTAGGTTAAAACATTGTTTAAAATAAATAAAATCTGAGTGGTGCTCTGACAATTAAAACAGGCTATTTGATACATCAAGAAATCCCTTTGCAGATATACTGAGGTTAATATCAGCATCAGAAATTACCGAGGGCTCATTTTCTGTAATGATTATGTAAGCAGCTAAATTGCAGAAAAACCAGCTCTTGGTAAATGTTCCAGTTTAATGTTCCATCTCAGAATTGTCTAGGCTACATGAGATAATTGTGGTTATTTTTTTTCTGTACTACTTACTGTGGAGAATTTAACTGAACAACTTAATGAAAAATACTTTGTTGTGGCAGATGAGCTTTTATGAATATAAAATTCAGGAAATTCAAGATTGTGGTTCCCACAGCAACCATGACTAGTTTCTTGGCTTCTATTTAGGGTTTAGAATTACTGGGCTAAATGCTGTTCCCAGTTCCCCTGACTTTTCCCATGTTGATGTGAAAGCTGAGAACTTGGCTCAGGATTTGTGGGTAACTTTTTGGTCAGAATATGTTTCTATTTCCAATTTGTCCAAGATACAATTGTGTGGGAATAATAATTCCATCTTTTTCATCTTTTAAATATTTTTTTCAAGACTAACCATCTTCCAACATTTATTAAAACTTGCATGGTGCAATGTTGTACAGGCATTACCCCTCATTTTACTCCTGCTGGGTATATATGGTAGTCATTGTCATGATTTTTTGATGGAGAATGTGCAAGGAAATCCAATGTCTGGAAAAAAGTCTCCCTTCTGATAGAGGATGTAGAGTGACTCAGAGATTAAGTCCTTCTAACTTGCCTGCAGTGATGATGGAGGAGGAAATTTAATCTGGGAGTGGATCCTAGTAAGCTTTGAGGAAGGTCCTCAGTCACCTGCAGCTGTCTTACGATACTCAGCTGAGTTCTTACAAAAACTTTTATTGAGCAATTAAAAACAAATCCAGTGAAAACAAAACCACTTTCTTAATGGTGTCAACTATCTTCTACTACTGTCAGGTACACCTCTTAAAATGTCTTCTGAAGCGGTCACTGCCATACCTTATGCAAATTTTCAAATACTGTATCTAATGATGAGCAGCAAGTGTGTAGGGGAATTGGGCATTTCGACTGCTTGTTTAAGTTTAAAACATGAGATGTTACTCTGGTCTCCAGGATGCACCTGCCTATTTAATAACACATTTTGAGTCTCGACAATTGTGAATCAACACAAAAGCATTTGAGTATTTACTTTATATCACTTTGTGGGTTTTTTAAACTACTGTGAAGAGTGTTGTGGGCTTTTTTGATTTGAATGGTAATACAAAAAAGTTTTTATAGGCTTTCTTCTAAAAATAGAAGTCACTTCTAGTTTAAAACAAACATGATAACATTTAAATTAAAAAACTTTTGCAGGAAAGGATAGAATATAAGTTATTGAAAAGTGGATACTTAAAAGGAAGATTCAGATGTGGCTGTAACAATACTGTTAGTTTCTCTCCACTACAACCTAAAATGAGCCCAATGTTTTCTTCTGTTTTTCCTTCAGACATAGGAAAGGACAAAGATACGTACACAGATGATTCAGAACATGGAAATTATGATGCTCGTACAGATCAGTCATTGCTTATTCAGAACAAGCTTACCAGACAGAAAACAGAACCTCGGACTAAATCATCTTTAAAGGTAACGGACACAAAACTTTATTAAATTGTATCAATTGTCAGAATGTGCTTAAATATTTTTAAAATACAATTTTTAAGGGATTATATAAGTTGCAGCTTAAATAAATAGGCATCTCATGGTAAGAAATTTAGGTGTCTCCCATATTATAGTTTGACCTACAGAATCAATGAATGGAAGTCTCTGTACCAAAAGCGACCAAAATTATATAGAATCAAGGATGCTAATGATTCGTATCAACTCATCTAAGAAGCAGTAGCCTTCTTTCAAAAAAATCTGTGTTGCACAGAATTTAGGACATAGGATTTCCAGGATGGAGTGAAAGTCATGTCAGCTGAGAGGCCTCAAGAAATTAGGAGAGTTTAGAAGAACTAAGTTCATGTAGCAAATGATCAGTCGAGAGTGATCTAAAGTGTAGGATTCTCCTAAGCAAAATCCAAATGATAGCCAGACATATTGAATGAAAGATAAAATTTACTTATGTATAGACGAGTGTAGGAGTATTTTCAGGAACCTCAACTAAAGCACTGGGAAAGCCATCTCACCAGAGAAAACGGACATGTTATCTTGCTTAGTAATTACCTAATCACAGTATTCATCACAATACACTTTCTACAACAGTTCATCCACTATAATGCCAAAGAATTATGACGGATTTTTAGTTCAAAACATGTTTGGTTTTTTGGGTTTTTTTTGTTCTTGCTCTGGACTGGGAGACCCTTAATTCTCCTTTCCGTTAGCATAATTGCTTTTAAGTGTATGACAAATGACCTAACCTCAAGAAGTTCTGAATTATTTTCTTCTTCAAGAACTAGCAGTAGTGTATTCTGCAGAACAGTTTTTACCAGCAATTCTCTGATTTTTGGTATATAAAAGCATGAATAATCTATGCTACAAAACTAGAAATGCTTAAATTGCTTTAAGGTTCTATAGTCATAACTTTGTGATTTTAGGATTCAATGCGTGTTTCACAGGAATTGTGTAACTGTTGTGAAGCATGTTCTCTCAGTCACACTGATCATCATTACTACGGGATTCTGGAACACAGGTAGCAGGTTGATGTGATCTCTGAGACAATTTCATGGGATGCTTTTAGAAAAAAAGTTTTTATAATAATAGCTATCTAATAACTTTTAGAAAGGTAATACTATTACAGGTAATAGTATTTACAGATCAGAAATCTCTGGTATGAAAATGAAACTTTGGTAATGACAGAGAAGGGTTATATTTTAATCTACACCATTGCAATGAGAACTTTTTGTGTTCACAGACTTTTTTGTCTGTTTCTGCAAGGCTAGCGAAATTAAGGCAGAAATAGTAGTGGATGTTCTTGTTTGAATTTGTTGATCAGGTAGACAAAGCTTTTTATGTTAAATGTGGCCTAAAAGGCAGAACAAATAATGCAGAATCTGCAGAATTTAGACTGCATTTTAGAGAGCTAAGTATTTTTCATAACGGGTAAGGCCACTACCAGAAGAATCTAGTAATAGATAATGCCTATCTAGTAACAGGCATTTCATTGTGGTAAAGCAAAATATTTTTTGTATGTTCATGTGAAATATGAAATGACCACTAGCTGTGTTTTCTCCAAGCCCTGCATTCAGTACTCATATAAAGTTTATAGGCATCCAGTAAGCTAACTTTCTTTCAAAGTTTAAAGAGGAGCCTTGTATTTGTGTTAAGTTTAAACAAAAATGCCCTTTTTATGTCTCAATCTTCATATGACCTGACCTACTGAACAAAGTGCTTCAGAGTTTAAAAACAGTCTTCTGAAGCTACATCTGGCTTTTAGCCTTGACAAATCCTTTTATCACAGCAATTACTTTGGAAACTTCCTTCTGCTTTTATACTGGTTTTGCAAATCTGGCAACCAAGCAGGATTCTCCTCCTGTTTACTATCTGTCTGCCTCCACAGGAAAAAGGCAGAGGCACTTTAGATTAGTCTCATATTAGAAAAGAAGGTTACTATTTTGCCTTCGGATTATTGTACGAGTCCTTGTGGCAATTAGTGGACGATGTCTAAGGGAAACCTCTTCCCAAAATGGATATAAAACTAAAAAAAGGAGGCTTTTAATTCTTTTTGAGACTGTTGAAAGCACAGAAGACAGATCTGCAGCTTTGCAGCTGGTAAGTACTCTCATATATTTGGAAAATAAACTGATCTATCATGATTAAAAAAAGTCTCCTCAGTCTGACCAGAGAATGAGAATGAGAAACACCACATTGGCAAAGCATACAAGGGTAAAAGCTTATTCTTGTTCTCTGCCTGTTAAGGGTTCTAATTTAGACTTGTTTTGGAAGGGTTGTTTTACACCTGAGAGACTCAGGGAAAAATTGCTAGAAAACTATTTGCAATTAATGCTTGGTACTATTATCTGTCTCAGTGATGAGCTACTTGGATACTTCAGCAATAATGAACTTGCCTTGCTGACGTGAAAGCCAATACACGTTTTTTGGGGGGAATTTAGTGTTTCAGATCACATACATGATGCAGCACTTTCCATAAATCTGGTTGGTATCGCTGCAGTTTTAAAGCTTTAGAAACATCAGATAATTTTGATATAGCACCTGGATGCTGACATTCATCTGGATAGTCATCTACTTTTCTTGTTTCCTTGATTATAACTCATAATCTCCTTTAGTGTAGGTTGGTGTCATTTCAGAATCCACAGATTTCATATTGAAAAACTGTGAGTCGTTCAGACCCATTAAAAAGCTGTCTGCATTATCCATCGCTGCTGTCTTTTCATCGCCAACTGCTGTTGAGATTGTGTAGAAAGTATGGCTTCATGTATGCGATTCTGCCAAGGGATTTCATGCAGAGGAATGATGCCAACAAGTGGCTGCTGAGCAAAGTATGGAATGAGTAGTATCTGCTATTGCATGGGAAATGTAGGAAATGAGGAGGTCTGTGACTGGAAAGTTGATATTTGAAATGTTCTAGTTTCACTAAGAAAGGAAAGCAGGCTAAACAGACTTCGTCACTTGAATGGAAGGCAGCATTTGTCCAGAGAAGCAGCAAAGTCAGTGGCAGTGAATTCTTTTCCATACCAGTTACTATCATGTGTATAGTGGCAAGATAGGAATATTTGAGAAATTACACTTCCATTTTCTTTCATTCACTACATTACTGTTACTCTCTTTGATCTGATGATTTTTTTTTATCAGATGAATTTTTTATCTAGGTAGTGTATTTTGCTATGCGGCAAGGTAAAGAAAGGATTTTTAGAACAAAGTTGACATATTATCACTATGGGTTCAGAAATGCTGCCTAGACAGTAGCCTAGATTACTGCCTTTTTCTGGTATCCACTGATATTCACTATAATACTGCATGTCTAGACTAGCTTTATGTTGGATAGGATCTGAAACGATTTTTCTTTCAGTCTCCAGAAATGTTACATAACTTCTAAGGAGTTTTAAATAAGATCTTAAACAAGAAATTGGCCAAAACATATGGAGACTTGTATCTAATCAGCTGGACATACTGCTGAAAATTCATTATAAGTTGAGCAAGACTCATTATGTTCAGTGTAGATTATTACAGCGATTATTAAAGGATAAATCTACCTGTGAAAACCTGAAATACATTGTTTAGGCATTTTATTGGATTCTTTGTGATTTTGAGCATAGCTGTTCCTCTCTCTCCTGCAAAACAAATACTTTGCTTACAGAATTTTGTCAGTGGTTTTGAAAAATTGAATAAATTAAATGTAGTATCTGCAGAATAAAAATGCTCTTCAATCTTAAGATTTTATTTTCCATGCCTTTGCAGGGATTATTTTCTGTTTTCATTTTTTTCTGTGTAAGTCCATGACTTTGAGTTGCACAGATTTGTGCTATATGTTCCAATATTGTCAATTTATCACTAGTTTCACATACGTTATTTCACTCATAATCCTGCTCCTGTGTTCAGTGGAAGTCAGGCATGCGTGCGAAAAGAGAAGGTTTGGCAATAAAAATGTTTTAGTGTATAAATAAGAACTAGATGATGTCAGCTGACAACAGCGTACTGGAAAGGAGAATAGCAAAGGGAGACTGATGAATAAGGAGTAGTTCACAAATGCAGTCTAATAACTCAAAAGTAAATAAAGTTTAAAAGGAATGATAACAGATAAAATCATTATCCCAGAATAGAATGACATGGTAAAGTGCAACAAAAGTTAACTTCATGTTTATGCTTCTAGTGCACGGCTCTCATCTGCTGTGAGGTTTTGTTTAAAAAGAAAAAAAAAAAAAGCTCAGAAAATATTTCAGGAAATGCAGGGAGAGTAGTAAGTAATTTTATCATAAAGATGAAAGTTTTAAAAAATAAACATGTAAAAAAAATTTTCAGTGGTCATGTCAGTATGCTTTTTGTTAAGGCCTCCCTAATTAAACTTGAAGAGCAAATAGAAGTGGTTAAATATTAAAAATGGGAAGCCTCCTCTTGTCTCCAGACATCCTCCATTGCTGCTTCCTCAGACAGTAACATTGAACAGACTTACTGTCAAAATTTTGCATAAGATCACCTAAACCAACTCCTTTCCTGAAGCAAAATGTTTTTCATATTATATACAAATGTATTTTTCATGCTTACTCTGTAAGTCTGAATAGAATGAAAATGTAAAAAAAGTCCTCTGTGAAGAAGCTAAAATAATTACTAATTCTTTAGTTTACTCCTAAAAGTTAAACTGTAGTTTTATTAGGAAGTCTTTATTCTGGAAGTCTTCCTCTCTGTTCAGAGGACAGCTAGGTTCTGCACGGTACAGTGTAGCATACACAGAAAGCCATTAGCATGGGTAATTGCGGCAGCCTGTCCTGTTAACCAGGCTGTGTTGTCTCTGATGCCCAAGATAGTTTGGATATCTTTGCATATGCAAATATGTCCCCAGTTTTCCTTCCTAGGTTATTATGCTCATGGTTTTTGCAAAAGAAAAAAAAACAAGAAAAAAAAGAAAAAAATGAATACACGCTTAAAATCAATCAATCTATATTTTTGGAATTAAGTAATTGAAAGGATGAATATAATAAGTCTGTTTCTGGCTTATCCATTCCAAAACCCTTCAGACACAAAAAGATGATTGCTAACTTAGTTGTATGCTTAGAAAATTTCTCATAAAGCACACCTTAGAGTATTCTTAATCACAGTATGATTTTTAAAATGCAAAAAATGAGTCTAGAACTATTTTTAAGTCTTTTAAAATATTTTCACAGCTTATTCTGTGTAACTTAAGAAGTCTGTTACCTTGTTAGGGTCCTAGGTTTCATTTTTAAACAACCTGAAACAAAGAAAGCATTAATTAGGAATCTCACTTTTGTTCATGGAAATAAGCCCGTTGTAGTTAGCATCAGAAATGTATTTATTTCTAGAAAATACTTAAAGATAAGAGTTGAGTCATAAGCTCTGGATGCAGACACTAACCACTGAAATAGTGGCACCCTTCAGTGTGATTACTGAAGGTGTTGATGCAAAGTTCATAGTAACAGTATTAGGGAAAATTAGTAATCAAAATCAAAGGTGTTTTTCATGAATCAACCAGTAATTGCTCCACTTAATAGCATCTTATGAAGTTCTAAGAACAATAATAAATTATATCGGAAGAAAGGTTTCTTTTATGAGAGATAACCATTCTACTCAGAAGGAGAAAGCTATTCATGTAGATTTTGCAGTTTTAGGTAGTTAACCATGCCCAAGAATTTCACACATCAGACTTTACCTCTGTCAGAATTCCTGCCCTAGTTCTTCAAATTGTTTCCCTGGCTACTTCTGTCTTATACATGATTTAATAGCCCTGAACTCATCCATTATTATCTCTAAAACACCTCTTAAAAAACAAGACATGAAGAGTGCTTTTCCTTGCCCCACCTCTGCTAACCAGCGTGCTTTGCATTGTAAACGTCATTCTCCTCCTCTTACTCCTCCATTCCAAGCTGATTTTCCTTGCAAGTGTACAAAGTGATTTTATGTGTTGTGGGACGTTCTATACAGTCCTGTTTGGGCTGTAAGTCTCAGTGCCAGTGAACTTTATGGTGGTGTTTACAGAAGTTTTATGTGGCAGCAGTAGGTCAGTGAACATGTTGTTGTTTCCATGAGGAAGCAAATACATTTCAAAGTCTGTTTACTTGTCTTTCATTCTTCCTCAAATGTTTTCTGGTTCTACAACTTTTCCCTAAAAAAATGCTATTGGTGCGATGGTGCTATTACGGAGCAGTGATGCTGGGACTCAGTCCTTCCACTTCCAGTAGTAGCATCACTTTCTACTGCTGGATTCTGCCCTTCCCTTCTCTTACAGTTTCCCTGGGCAAAAACCCAAGACATTTGAGTAAGTCTCTCGTTAATATGTTGCTTCATTAGTGGTAAAAGTTTATCAAAACTATTCTTCTCTAGCACATTTAGCTGTCAGAATTCACAAGCTGTCTTAGGGAGGAAATTAATTTTGTTCTAAACATCATCACCTTGAACTAAAAAGATTTTGGGGAGAGAAATTTAGTAAATTTGGGGTCCAAATTGTAAAAAGAGAATCCTGAGGCCCAGCTTTGCGCATCCATCTATCTTTTGGATCCCAGTTACTATTCTGTTGGTATATTTACTTCCCTTTACATAATTTTACAAATCTAATTCAAAATTACACTGTCCACATGGAGGAACATTGAACTTCATCCTGTCTACTGTAGAGGCAAAATGTGGGGGCTTGATTCTTGTGTACTGTATCAAGAGCAATCACTTACGTAAGTGAACGCTCCTGTTGTTGATTATGGCTGAGAATTTATGTTCTCTGTATGTATAAATATGGAACTTCCTTATATACTTTTTATTAAGTAAACGACAGTCCTTGAAGTCAGAAATTGAAACCGTCTGTTCACTGCCTGAGCTACACCCCAATGTAAAAGTTGTTTCTCCCTGCATGGGTGCCTTGGGTCAGAATAACCTCCTCTGGGCTGAGTCCAGTGCACGCTGTGCACGCTGCCAGACTAGCACTATTTTTTAGACATATTCTAAAGGAACTTACAAAGTGCATCAGCAGCAAACGACTAACAGATGATGTTAAAATAATGAGTTGTCAGCCTCTGTGTTTATGTGTATATATGTATAAAATAGGTAGAAATCATGCTCATTTTCATTGCCATTGCTGGCAAATTTCAGGAAACTGGGGGGGGGGGGGGGAAAAGCAAATCATAAAATATAATTATTAAAGGTCTTGTTCCCTGCTCTTTGTTTAGCATTTATATGTTAGATAATGGTAATGAAAATCTTATACATGGAACAGACAATTTAGACAATTTCTTTCATATCAGACTTGATTTACTGGATGTTGATAGTAAATTAGAATAAATACATTTATTAAAATTAACACAATGCAGAATCTAATAATGCAGCTTTTCCTAGGCTAAATTCACACTGAAGTACTTTGAATTTTTCCCTGAATAAGAATTTCTTTGTCACTATTCCTACCAGAGTCAATAATGACATGCATTTAAGGAGACATCAAGTTGATGAATCAAATAGGTTGAAGTAAAGCTTCACAGTTTGGGATCTCAGTTGTCTGTACTATATCATTGCATAAAACAATGCCAACATAATTTAAGAGTCCTCAAATGGCTTTTTAATTAAACCCTTAGAATAATTAACACAATACAAACTGCTGAAGGCTATTTCCAAAAATTGGTCAGTGGTCAAATGAGTAGTGATTGAATTTGCAAGCTTAAGATGAGAAACTGGAACTCCACTGAAGAGGTCCCTTTGTATTGTGAAGGTGAATGTTGTAAGAGGTTAGCTTTTTGCCTTGGCTTGAATGCTGTTAAGTGTGGTTGAATATTAAAATCTAACTTTAGTCTACAAAATAGTCAATATTTTATATTATTAATATAATACAAATGCTATAATATACTATTGCAATATATAGCATATGCAGAATAAGATGCTCATATTTTTATCATTGACATATTAATATTTCCTCTGCATTAATATTTTCTATTAATAGGTCATGTCTGATGGTAGATAATAGTGAAGTTTAGTAAGGAAGTCCATTATAAGAGGAGGACTGTACATGTTTGGCCAAAGAAGAATAGTGATTGCTTTAAAAAAAAGTCATTTTTCATTTATATAATGTACATTAGGAGTACAGTTAATTTTAAGGGGATATTTGAGTCAAATACTTTCATTAATTGTATTAAAGTAATGATAAGGTCCTACATAGCATAAGATACCACATATATTTGTTTGTAGAATTATAGCCGCGAAACATTAAATAAAGCTAACTTGACCTAAACTCAAACCAAGAAAAGGAGGTGGCTCTCCCAAAAATGAGCTGTGGAAATCCTTATAAAAGGTTTTGGGGAATCTGAAAGATTACATGGATTTGGG